TATATATATTCATAGGTATACATATACACATTTACACATATACATATATATACTTATACATATATATACATATATCACTCTTTTCTCTCTCTCTCTCTCTCTCTCTCTCTCTTAATCTCTCTCTCTCTCTATATATATATATATCTCTATCTATGTATATATACATGTATGTCTATATACATGTATGTATTTATACATGTATGTATTTATACATGTATGTATATATTCATGTATGTATATCTTCATGTTTGTGTATATAGATGTATGAATATATTCATACATCTATATACACAAACATGAAGATATACATACATGAATATATACATACATGGATATATACATACATGTATATAGACATACATGTATATAGACATACATGTATATAGACATACATGTATATAGACATACATGTATATATACATAAATAAATATATACATACATGAATATATACATAAATGTACATATACACACATATATATATACATACATTTATATATACATACATGAATATATACATAAATGTATATATACATACATTTATATATACATACATATATATATACATAGATACATAGATAGATCGGCATATATATATATATTTATATGTATACATATAAATATATATATATATGCCCATCTATCTATATATATATATATCTATATCTCTGTCTTTCTCTCTCTCTCCCTATCTCTCTGTCTGTCTGTCTGTCTCTCTGTCTCTCTCTCTCTCTTTATCTCTCTCTTTCTTTTTCTCTCTTTCTTTTTCTCTCTCTCTGTATCTCTCTCTCTCTCTACCTCTCTGTCTGTCTGTTTCTCTCTCTCTCTTTCTCTCTCTCTCCCTCTCATTCTCTCTCTCTCTCTATCCTCTCTCTCTCTCTCTCTCTCTGGTGTCCATTTATTGCAAGAATTGTCAACGGACATGCTGCATCTTTTGAAGACGATTCAATTATTCAAAGTTTTAATCTTGGCTTATAATTTGATATTCATTAATTCGTTAGTTTGTTTTGCCCAAGTTAATATTCATAACTTGTATCATTAATCTTAACACAACCAACAATCTTCAATCTGTAATTTATTATTTTCATTAGTGCTATGATCAACATAGACATAGTTATATCATTATTATTTCAGAAATAGCATTGATTTGAGTCACAAACCCACACCCACCCACACACCCACACACACACACGCACGCACGCACGCGCATACGCACACACACACACAC